AAGTACAGCAGATTAAGTAACTTGACCAAAACTACACAATAAAGCTCACAGCGAAAAGAAACAGCTTTTCTTCAGTCATGGTAGAATCCGTGCAGAGTAAGTTTTTCAGAGCAAGATCCTCCACTCACTTTTAAAACTAGGTGAGTCTTATTAATTACTTTGTGTCTCCAAAATCCTTTGGTCTGAACATCTGTCAAAAAGCCTTTTCTGAAAGTGTTAATTTAAAAAATTTTAATACTTTTATCATAGTAGGCTTTATTTAGCTGAGTTTAGAAAAATTCCCTCCTCTGTATTTGTTGCCATGTTTCTGAATTTTTTTACTGTGTGGTAATGTTCGTCAGAGTGTGGAGGAAGAATTATCTTCTCCACAGCAAAGAGCACGACTGTTCAAGATACTTCTTCTGTAGAAATTACTTCCTTGTGGTAGTAGTACATACTTCCCAGTATCTCTAACTGCGAAGAGAACTATCAAAGCACAATTTGTTGTCATCTTTTTGAAGGTGGTGTTGGAAGAGCAGTTCTGATGCTTGGCTCTGGTGGTTTGGGAAGTTACCATCTAGTCTGATGTTTCAGTCCCGGGAGCAGCGTTGGCAGAACAGGAGGTTTATTCACACCTTGGCCACGTTCATTGATTTGGAACTAAGCTGTGCTAGCACCTTAAACTGAACTGTGGGGCTTCGTGCAAAAGTAGCTGAGGTGCATTATGTTTGCTGGCTTTCCTGTCGCTGTCAGCCCCTCTCTGCTGGTTACTGCCCTCCCAGGAACTTTAAACTGATAAAGCAAATGCTAAACCTCTTTCATCAGTATTTCGAGGCAGCTCCAGGATTGTCTGCTGCTAGCTTCAGGGAATAAACATGATTGTAGTTTGTACAGCTGTCTACATGTCGTGACTGCTGCAATCAATAAAACACATTCTTAACTTTCAGCTCTTCATCAGAAAGGATGATCAAAAAAATTAGACTTACTTATGACTTTATTCGTAGAGGTTTGTTCTTAGATTTTGTACATGTCTAATAGGTGACACCGTCACTCCTTCCTTACCTTTTGTAGGAAAAAGGGGAGTTCAAGTGTCTAAGTCAATAATGAGTGAAAACGGAGTAAGTCCTCAGCAGGACTGAAGCTAGTGACAAAAGGGAAATGACATAACCATCTACCGACTGGAGGTGACTGGAAAGTCCAGGACACACGTGTTACGAAAGAAAAAAAAAAAACCCTTCAGATGTTCTATTCCTTCCCTTCCCCAAATAACCTTAATGCATGATTCTTTTAGAGAGGGTTTTATTTGTTTTACTGCTTTTCTTCAAAAGTGCTTAGTTGAAGTATTAGATCATGTGCTTTTGTAGCGTAAAAATAGAAACTTTTTTCCTCTAAGTAGCTTAATAGTTAAAATGGTATCAATAAATGAGACTCACAGTTATATTCTTAAACTTTGATATGAGCTTTATTCAAATTGTTTAATTTGAAAAGTGACTTGATCATGATTTTTGGTACTTAGTTTTTCACTGCAATTAAAACCTGGCTTTGATCAAAGACTGATCATAAAACACTGTGTATAAAGCTTTTGCTTTCTAAATAGCACGTGACTAGAATGGGGGAGGAAATGAACAGTGTATTCACCCTGAGGTTTTCATTTTTAATGCACACATTTTCCATGAACGATCTAGAGCACCTTTATTGATTTCTGATATGACAAGTTCTGCGGTGTGGACATCAAGAGGTTGTCTTAGCAGAAGACCTGTGTGGTTTGTAGATCTGTTCATGTTACTGTTCTTGTGTGAGCTGAAGAGTCTAGAACTGCTTTCTTCTGGTTGAGGCATTTGCTTCCTGTGTGCCTGACCTGTTTGTGTTCGTGTTTGACTGCTGAACTGAAACTTGTGTGGCTTTATTTTGACTGAAATGGGATAGAGGGCATTTATGTGAATAACCCGGGTGGCAGGGTGGAGTAGGCCATAATGACAGGCTGGCAGTTGGGGTTCTGGGCTGGGAATTGATTCAGCTACCGTAGATGTGTATGGAAAAAGGTATGTGTCTGCACTGGATGTGGTGGTTTGAGCTGATTGTAAAGATGGGCTTGGAGTATACTCTTAAGGACATTAAAGGCCTTGCAACTAAACTGTAGTATCAGCAATGTGTATGGTATGCTTTTAAGTATTTGATGTGAGCGAGAAGCTCCTTGCAGTCATCTAATGTTTATAATATTTCTTTTGTCTTTCTGATGAAAATTTGGGAAGTAGGAATTGTCTTAAGCTGCCTTTTTTCCACATAGAGCAAGAACAAATATTTTGTACATCAATATGCTTCTCTTATTGCATTATCATAATTTTCTTTGCCTTTACAAATGTTACGTTTTCCCTGGTTTTATTATTAAAAGATTGCTACAAAAAAGCCCCGTTTCCTAGTTCACAGTGTGCCTGTCAGTTCTTACTTAGCTGCGGAAAGACCTGGTGATATGCTAATGTTAGCAGCTTGCATTTATCTTTTGATGATTAACGTAGTCTGTGTTATTCTCCCATAAGTAAGCACAGAAAATAAATAGACTAAACCAGAAAAAAAATTCAAAACAGCATGTCTTGTGATCCCTCTTTTCTGCAAATGTGCTAGAAGTGCTACTGAGTCTTCATCGTTACCATCTTCAGTAAGTCCAGGAGCAGTAGGTGTGGGGTGGGAGGCAGAGGAGCATTTGGTTGACTGGATCCTTGCACCTGGTACGATGGATGTAGTCGTCCTCTGCTGTTTTCTCCGATGGTGGTGTAACTGCAAAGCTAATGAATACTCAGGATATGCTGTATTTGGGGAGCATAATTTTATGTCCTTTCATTGCCTTCAAAGAGTTCTATGATAGTGGACCTTCACTTTTCTGTTGAGGATTTACTTTGAAATTTATACTAATTTTGAGCTAGATTTGCCATTTATTGCAAATAATACACAAGCTCTTCAGCAACACTTTTACAACATGACATTTGTTAAAAAAATACATGGAGGTAATAAACTGTTTATAGCATACACAAAATCTTGTATATTAATACTTTGTCTTTCTTTTGCCAGAGAGATATTTAAAAAGAAGATACTTTAAAACACTGAAACAAGACTTATTTCAGCAGTAAATCCATTACCTAGGCTAGGGTGGAGCTCAGATTGTGTAATCTGTCTGAAAAATACTCATGCTTGTGAGTTCATGCTTAGTCTGGAGATACAAAAGACAACAGAGCGTGCTAAACTGCTAATCCAATTTTATAATAACTTTTGAAATATTATAGCTGTTGTTTAGTGGCTTTTTTGATAATGTAAATCTTCTAAAAAGTTTTTATGCTATCCAAGCTTATGTTATCCAGGTCTCAGTTGTCTGAAGAACTTGAGTTCTTTAGTTGTCCTGGGATTTCTTTCTGTAACACCCTCACTGGGTTGGTAGGTACAACTGTGGCTGGGTTAGGGAGAGAGAAAGTGTTTTTGCAGAGTTGTATGTATAAATGGTTATGAAAAGCCAAGTCTTTGAAAGAGGGAAAGCACATTGACTGTAGTTTCAAAAGTGATACAAAATATTTTTTTGGTGAAGGTAGCCTAGTTCCCATCTTTGTTTTTTGGTCCGAAGTTGCAAAACTGCCACTTGTGGCTAGCCTGTTAAGTAATGCCTGTTCAGAACGGTGGAGAACATGCATGTCTTTTTTCTAAGTGCTGTTTTTGTGGTTCTCTACAGCTAGAGCTAAATTTGCATTCTTTTCTTGGTAACTTGATGTTCGGGAACTGTAAGCGAGAAGCAAGCGTGGCATAGTTGTGTACCTTGCAGCTGCTGTGAAAGCCAACGTGAAGCTAAACCTGCCAGTGTTCACGAGTCGCAGCAGAGGTTTGGTTGAGCCACCCCTCTTTGGGCACTCTTGAGCCTCGCAAAGGTGACAACAGCAGTTTGTTTCCCCCTGTGCTGTATGTGACTCTTCCAAACGATGGGTCTTAAGCACAGTAAATCCCAGCACTCAGCCAAAGCAGTATTTTTCAGGAAACTGAAATGGAAATAGACCATACTGAAAGTGCATGCTACTGATAAAGTCTGTCTGAAAACAGACTTGCGTTTTTTTGCCGCAGAAGATTGAAAAACATAGATCCTTTTGAAATACAGAAATGGTCATATACAGCGCTGTTCATTCTAGCTCTTCCTTGCCTAAGGAGTCGGGGAAGGCATTCTGAGTTAACGTAGGTGACACTGTCTGTATTTAATGGTCCAGCTTCTGAAGTGCTCGGAATTGTTTTAGTTCCGTATCTTTACACAGACTTGTAATGTATAGACTGACGGTTATTTTGCCCCCGTTTTGTTTTGTTTTGTTTGTTTCTAGATTTATGTTTTGCTGTGCAGACAGGGAAAACTACTCCGTTTCCATAATATTTATGGTTGGTTGGTTTGTTTGTTTTTAAGTGACGTGATTAATTCTAAGTGCAGGTGGTTTCAGAGAAATTTGCCGAGAAGGATGTGATTGTAGTTTAGTATCACATTTAAATTCATCACATATAGATGTGAAGTATAATAAAAACAACTCTTAACTGATTGCTAAGTGTGTTTTCATGTGGAGAGCGTACACTGTGATACGCAGTTTATGGAAAGTTAGTCTTTAGGTAGTCTGTGTCTTCGCACAACCTGCATGACACTGGATAAGAAATACACCGCTGTGAGGGAGGGCAAAGGGCAGGAGTAGAGAGGTAGAGGGGGCAGACTCTGGAAGGTAAAAAAACAGGGGAAGTAGACGCTCCAAGGTGAACTTCCTCATCTGTTATCTACACACGCAGATAACAGCCACTGCTGTTAAATCGTAATATTTTTAAACACACACCCTAAAATCATACTTGCTATTTAAAAAAAGATTCCTTATACCAATGAAATCAGAGTTTGGGGCATATGGTATAATACATTCATATAACTTTAGGTGTTATTCCACAATAACTTCATATTACACCTACTACCATATTGTTTACAGCTTTCAAATTAACTGTTTAATATTTTCATTCTTTGTTAGGTTTTTTGTGGCAGAAGGAGAATACTGACCTGAGATGGAGGTCAAAACATCATTGAGCAAAGCCAGTAGGATTCCTGAAAGTGTATCCACGTTAATTAATGAAGAATTTGTCCTGGTTCATCAGCAATCTGAGGACACCTCTAGAAAAGATGAAAAACCTCAGCTAAAGGTTTGCTGTTACTTTATTTTAAAGGTGTAGTAAGGTTTGTATTGATCAAAAGATTGCAGCTTCTTTTGAATATTTAATTAAAGATACTTTTGTGTGCTTGAGAGGACTCATAGACTGAAATTTTTGTCCTTGCTTATTGCCAGTGAAGTTAACAGCTCAGATTAAGCAAATCTGTCCAAAAGTAGCAGTTCAGTTTTTCTTCTAGTAACTTCTTCAGAGGTCAGCTTTGTTTGTATTCTGTGGATTTATACATTTGTACAGGACTCAAAAATTCTTTTCAAAGAATGGGCTTCAGATTAAAGCTTGGGAAGTATTCTTTATTTAGGGATCAGAGACTCTGAATGTTGTTATCTTAAAAGCACGTAATTAGGCTGCATAGGAATAGACCACAGAGGGTCTTGGTTTTTAGTTTTTAATTTAGTTTTTCTGCTTAGCGCTACTTTAAGCATAACTAAGACCTGTTCTAGCAGAGTATTTTAGCATTTGGGTGACAACCGATTGGTTAATAACAGATTTTCCCACTTGAGTTGCAGTAGCTGATTTACTGGTTGTGTTGGGTTTTCTGCGGGGGGTTTTTGGTTGTGTCTCTGGTAACGGGGGAAGGGCTATGGAGACGGCCCTTTAAAAAGCTACCTGAAAAGCTCCCCCTTTGCCTTTGTCAGACCCACCTCTGACCAGGGCCAAGCCAATCAGTGCCCCTGCAAATCCATGTATTTAATGGGGGTGCAGGGCATGCATCTCTCTCTCTGGCACGAGCCCTGACCAGCGCGGCCCCAGGTGCAGGTGGCGTGGCCCTGGCCTTGCCCAGCTGGGCTTGGCCGGCCCCAACCACAACTTAAGCTTAAGCCCCGCTGCAGCTCATCCCGAAAAAAAGAGAGAGAGAGACGGGAACTCCAGAACCATCAGAAGAGACCTGCAGTGGAGAAAGGAGTGGGGCCTGAGTAGAACAGCTTGGAAAAACACTAAGGTCGGTTGAAGGAAAGAAAGGAGAGGGAAGAGGAGGAGGACGCAGAGCCCAGGTTCCCCTTTGCAACCCGTGGTGAGAGCCAGGTCAACTGCCTGCAGCCCGTAGAGCTCAGCGGTGGGGCAGGGCCACCTGAGCAGTGGCTGCCCCTGAAGAAGCCGTGACTGCGGGCAGCGTGTGCTGGAGCAGTTTGTGTGCGAGGGAAACTGCAGCTGTGGGCAGACCCAGATTGGACTTTTGAGGACTTTCTCCCTATGGAAAGGGGGCCACATGGAAGCAGAGAGAGACACTGGGCTGAGTTTTCCTACTCCTGAGGAGCACATGGTGTGAAAAACCCCCACTGCCATCCCCCTGCGCCTCAAGGGAAACAGGGAGAGGGAAGGTGAAGGAACCAGGAACAAAAGCTGAGCCCTGGGAAGAAGGGACGGGTGGGGGGAAGGTGTTTTGACTTTAAGATCTGGTTGTGTCTCCCATTGTTCTACTCTGATGTTGGTAGCAAATGAAAATTGTTTTTTTTTTTATTCCTCATGATGAGTCTGTCTTTTGCCTGTGACCTGTTTAAGTGGTGAGAAGCCCTCCCAGTCCTTATTTTGACTAGCCCTTTTTGGGGCATTTTGGTGCTCAGTTAGGCACTGGGCCTAAACCACGACACTGGTTTTGGTCCACTTGAAAAAAATAGGACTTTTTTTGCCTTGAAGTGACAATACGTACTTAGTCTGTCTTTGCGTAACTGTTCAGCAGTTATTTACGACTGATGATTTCTGTCTGTATGAAACACTAGCTGCCTCTTTAGTAGTTATGTCTGCAAAGAGACAGGTGAACTGGTGGTAGAATCCATGATGCAACTGTATTATTGGCCATGGGGTTTTTCTCTTGTCTGAAAAGCTCGTGCTTCAGAAAGGCTGTCTCCCCTCCTGCCCCCGCCCAGGGCGTGTGTCACACCATTTTCTTGCCATTTCCTTAGCCTTTCACCCCTCTTATGCGTTGGACGGTTGGTGAAAAAACTCAAACGGATTGGATATGACTAAAAGTAAAATTTTCTTTACGACTAATCTGTAACAGTCTGTTGATCTTTGTTCTGAATGGAGGATCTAAACACATAAACGTGTTATTTAAGAGTGGTCTGTGGTTTTTAGATGAGTGCTGCTTGGATTAGCAGTGAGAATATGTGCATTATATGTAACAGGGTCGGACATTGGTTTAGATTTGATTTGGTTTGTTGTTTCTTAGTATGTTATCTTACTCATTGCAAAAGTTAAGAAACGCTGCTGAACAAGACTATACGTTTGAAAAATGTGAAAGTGGATCTACAGGTACCTTTCAAAAATGCCATCTCCTTTTGCCTACAGGTATTTTCAAATGGAGATGATCAGCTGGAGAAGGCAATGGAGGAGATACTGCGGGATTCTGAGAAAGACCAGAACAATGTTACTGCTCTCCAAGAAGGTTTCAGCGATGCAGGCAGCCAGGCAGCTGCAGATGAGTCAGCAGGTCAAACAAATCAGCCATCTTTGCACCTTGTTTTAGACCCTTCCACTACAGGTATTGCTTAAGTGCTTCCCTCCTCTGTCATATATAGCAGTTTTTTTCTTTATGCAGTTTCTAGTTAACGTTAAAATGAATATAAAGCTTTCTAGAGCTTCATTCCAAAACTATACTGGAGAATACCCTGGGTCCTCCTCTCCTTTTCTGATTCGTTGAGGGTTATAGGCAGGAATAGGTTATCATTAGATTGATACCCTGTGCTGCTCTGTTTTGGTCAAGATGATTTTCATTTTGTTTTCAGCCCTAGATGAATTTCGACTGAGTATCGTGTAACTTACTGAATGGACTGTAGTTGAGGTAGAGATGCTACTGATGAAGTGTGAGGAGTTTCAGAGCAGTGTTCATTTACAGTACCACCTCCAAGTGAAATATACCTTGAGCAAGCCTATAAACTTTTCAACTCTGGTTCTATCGCTGGGTACCAGTAAGGACAGCTTTAGATTTGATATTTGCTAGGAACGATCGTGGTACTTTTCTGGTATTTGAAGTTTTGGTACAAAAGGGAGTACTGAAAGCTTTTTATGTAGACTACACTGTATGTATTTTATGTAAAATATATTGTAGCTTTTTTAAAAAAATATGTATTAGGAATACAAGGCTGTGGTCATCTCTGTAGGACTTGAGTTAGGATTCTTTTTCCCTCAGTAGTATGCAGAGCACTTCTGTGTCATTATGTCAGATAATTCCTGTAGCATCTGTATGGGAAGTAAAAAAAAAAATAATTTTTTTTTTGGTGGTAGAATAAGATAGGCAGTTTATGCAGAATGGAAACTCCTTTCTCTAAATTACATGTATGCCGTATTTTTGAGAAACTTACCTTACTGGCTCTCTGTTTGACGTGCTTTAAGCAGAACACAGTCCTTATTGTGAATGAACAAAGAAATACTTGTAGATACTTTCTCCCCCCTCTTCCCCAGAATAATTGAATTTTACAACCTTTATGATTCAGGCATTATGGAAATGTTAGCTATACTAATAAGAAATAGAAATAACACAACAGACTGCTTAGAGGTTTGGAGTGTCTGTCTTTGGAAATACCATTACTCAGCTGGACGGGGCCCTGAGTAACCTGATTCAGTTTTGAAACTACCCCTAATCTAACCTGGTGTGTTTCTGAGCATGAGTTCAAGCTGGATGACCCCTAGTGGTCTTTTCCAACTTTAGATTACTCTGATTCTAAACAAATTTTTATTCCACCTCTCCTTGTTTTTCAAATGTCAAAATGCCTTTAAAAACCCACCAGAAAACAATGATGACAGCAAAACTCCCGAAAGCTCCCTCAAGATTGCCCTTGTCTGTAGTAGTATGATAGTGGAAGAGATCACTTCTGCTGAGTAGAGAACAAACAGATACCCTTTCTCTTTTCTCCAGCTCCCTGATGATTTCATGCAGTTAAGATAGCTATCCAAGGAGTGTGAACCACATCTAATAATTCTACACAAACTGTAAAGTCATGGGAAAGAAAAGAATTAGAGGCATATTTATGCTAATGATGAGTAGAAATTAGAAGGAGGTATAAATAAACTAAAGAAAAGAACATCTAGGAGTAGAGCTTAAAGAAAATGTCTGTTCTGGAACTCTTAAAAAGAATCAAAAGGCAATTTGTCCCTGTGCCATACTTAGAGACGTGTATTAGAATAGAATAGACTTAATGTTACTATTAAGCTGCCAAATGGATTTCTTACTGTTGGAGCTGGACATTTGAATCCTATGTCCATTCTCAGAACACGTGGGAGACTTTTCTGTGGAACTCATTTAGAGAACGGTGTGTACAAATAAAAGCAAATGGTTAAATGGTGTCTTCATTTTCAGAAATCTCTGCACCAAGGCCATCTTCTCCCAGTGAACCCCCGGAAGAGGACAGCGTGTTGTTTAACAAACTGACTTACTTGGGCTGCACGAAGGTGTCTGCCCCTCGAAACGAACCGGAAGCTCTACAGGCCATGGCAAACATGAAATCCTCAAGTCAAGCCCCTTTACCTGTAACGCTTTATGTTCCAAACATTCCAGAAGGCTCTGTAAGGTAACATACAAATGTTTCTTTTGTTACTTGCGCATACCCATAAAAGGTGGATTCTGCATTTGTTACTTGCACAGGGAAGTAGAATTTTTGTGCCTAGAGCTCTTGCTGAAGAGAGGGTTTTTTTTAGAAATTCCTCTGAAGCAACAAAATTCCTGTTCAAATTTAACATGCAGTGTATAGTTGGTGGTAGCAGTTGCCATGCAGTGTCAACAGAACTGTATCTTTCTACCTGCTTCTCTGGATATGGTAACACGATATATACTGGAAGGTGGGGGGCTGACAGTGCATGTGTTCTCCCAGCATCCCCAGTCTGTAGTCACCTCCAAGGTAAATGATGTTGAGACAGTAGTAGTCCTGCTGCCTTTGGGTTAGCTGAAGCAGTTTCAGTTGTAGACTCTTCCATACGTGTTGAGGACTTGAGATGCTAATCTCTATCTCTAGACATCGCTATGCTAAAGCCAAGTCTCACCTGCATCTGCCTCATGACGCACATGCTGGTGGTCTCTAGAGACTAGAAAATGTTTATTTGCCCTGTGTGAGGAGGGTCTTTTAATTAGTGATGAGTGTCAAGAATTCTTAATCAGGGAGCACTGATGGCACATCTGTAGCAGTCTTGCATCTAGAAGTAGGAAGCATCGCAATATTCAAGATTCTGATTTTTATTTTATAATTCTGATATCAAGATATCTGAAACACATGGCTAGATTTCCATCCTTTTCTGCACTCTGCCTCTATACTGAGTATCATCTTGTGCAGAAAGACACCAGGACTTTCAAGCACATGTACTATTTTCTTCCATTTTGCTCTTTGAACCAAATTTAAGATTTTGTTTGATGTTATGGCAGTATTTCATTTGAATTAGGAAATTACACCGCATGTTTTTGTGACGGCAACTAGCACATGGACACTAGGTGTTAGGTGTGTTGCATCTATTTTCATAGACAGTGTGACCCTTCAAAGAGGTTGTTTTGCAAGTGAAACTGCAGGTTCCTTTGATCTTTACTTGCAGAGGACATTGAATTGCGAAGGACTGCCTAAGAACCTGCACAGACCTGTAAAGGTGAATCCACATGTGACACAATACACTCCATCAAAGTTCAGGTGACACCAGTGTCATCTTTGAGGAGTGTTTCTATTCCTGGTATCTAATTTGTCGTGTGGGGTTCGATTTAACCTGTCCCACCAATATTGCAGCATGCTGAATTCTCCCGGGGCTTTTCTTGTCTTTAGGAGTCCTTTATTTTTGTCTTTACAGACTTGGGATCCTGTTCCAGGTAGTGAACGTTTATTCACTCATGCTGCGAATGTATATATGGAGAAGTAGTGAAAAGACAGAGGAGGACTGTTTAGCTCTAGCTGTTATTCTTTAAAACTCGCTGTCTGGTTGTCCATTCCAAGACCACCACCCCTGTTGTCTTCTCTAAAGTTTCTGAAATATTCTTTGGATTCTGAGTTTGAGAGGAATTTAAAATTTTGTCTGAGCCCTTAGATCTGTGAATAATACTCACCTGAACATGGCAGGAAGCATTTGCTATGCTATATGGTCCTGTATAAATAATAAAACCAAACTGAGTAAATAATGTTTTCTTAATGTTTTCTTAAACAGAGATTTTAATTCTTTTATAATACTGAATTTTCTTTGATCATCACGTGTAAATTGTGTTTTCACGGTTGCTGTCATTTCTACATTTCTACTCTCGTTTTTTCACAAATGACTGCAAAGCAATGATTGTCAGTCTTACTGCATGCTATGGAGGTACTGTGTTTGTCTGTATTATGGAGTGTAAGAAAAATTAAACCAGTGTTACAGCTGCAAACACTCACCTTGACATTTCTGTTCCTACTGCCCATTTTGTGTACTTGAATTCAGTAGTAATTGCAGTTTAGATACTTGCTTATCTAATTACAGAGAAGCCCTTTAGGTAGGCCTCTTTGGTTTACTGACCTTTTTCTTTGCTCTTCCCTGTTCCTTCCTTTCACAGAATAATAGATCAGTCGAGCAGTGTGGAGATCGCCTCATTTCCAATCTATAAGGTGTTGTTTTGTGTCCGTGGACAAAACGGGACTTCAGAGAGTGACTGTTTTGCATTTACTGAAAGCAGCTGTGGAACGGAAGAGTTCCAGATTCACGTTTTCTCCTGTGAGATTAAAGAGGCAGTAAGTATTAATTGTTGTGCAGTGACTTGTGAAAAGGACACAAGCGGTATTTTAAGAGGTTATTCCAGATGTGGAAATGGTATATAGTGCCTTGAAAGATCTGTTAGCACATCTGTAATGGATTTCACAGAATGTGCAGCTAGTCAAACAGGAATATTAACATAATTTATTTCTTTTATTTTAGTAAATTTCAATAAAATCCCAATGGGCATTGTAATGGGAAGATTTAGAAAGCCTAAGTTTAAGACAAGTATTCTGTTTTTAAGGCCTCATTTGGGTAGGTTTCAGAATAAAGTCGCAGTGTAGATGTTGAGAGTTACAGGGAATCATTCTACAGTACTCTGCCCTAGATCTTCTAGGAAAGGCTGTGTGATATTTTGGGAGAACAGGATTTTCTAGGGTGGAAAAACAGAGGTCAAAAAGATTAAATCTTCGTTTTCGACCAAGAGCAAGTTGAGAGTTGTGTTGTTAAATACACAGTCTGAAAAGTACATTATTCAGGTCCTCGAATGACTTGCATGCCTAATCTTGTTATATATTTAAACTTATTGAGCATTACATGAGCAGTGAGTGTGACATGAATAGAAACTGGAGACATCATTACTGAATTTGCCTGGTTATTCACCTGATCTGGATGCTTTGTGTTGTGTAAGAGGCATGCTTTGTGTTCTGTATGAAGGGCAGTGACAGTAATTTTATGACCTTCAAAAACACATTGTGTTATGCTGTTCAGAATACTATTTTGATTTTTTTATTCAGCTTTTCTTTTGCTTTTCTGTAGGTCAGCCGAATTTTATATAGTTTCTCAACAGCATTCAAACGTTCTTCCAAACAAGCATCTGATCACGTTAAGGATTTTGTTCTTCCTACTCCCGATAGCGATGTGTACACTTTCAGTGTTTCCTTAGAAGTCAAAGAAGACGATGGAAAAGGAAATTTTAGGTAATCTGAATGCAAAGGGAAAAGTAGAAATCTCTTTGAAAAAAGCATATAGCTTTTTTCAGAGTGAACAAGTACTGTGTTGCAGTAAAATTGATTTGGCCTCTTTTCATAAGGAGACTTGTTATAAAAAAGAAGCTGCTGCTTTGCTTTTACGGTTTTCTTCTCTATCTTTTCTGTTAAAGGATTAAAAATCAGGATACCTTTTTCAAATTGGATTCTTCTAAATACATGATTTCTGGCAGGCCTGTGTAAATGGAAAAGATAGTAGGAATTCTGTTACAAACCTTTGTCAAACCAGTTTTCTTGAATAGATGCAGTCTAGTGATATCTTTTTTTTTCTTTTTTTTTTAAATAAATGAATTTGCAATTTATTGAAGATTTTAAAAATCTGTAAACTTCTCTAATCATTACAGGTGACAGAGGAGCAATGTATTCTTTGCCTAACAACTAATTACAAGGTTTTTTTGGAATCAAAGAGAGGGTTGAAAATAAGAGTTAATTTTGTGAAAATGTCCTATTTATTTTCTGATTCACAGCCAGTATATAACATATTTTCTATCATTTTAAAAGTGTGAGCCTATAGTCTGTTTTTCTTCAGTGCCAGTTTAGTAACTTGTGAATAAAGGAAGAGGTCTCTCAAATGAGTTAAGCCATAGACAGCTTAAGTGGGCTGCTCTGCTCTTTTCTGTATTTAACTGCTGATGTTTTATACCCGTGCCAAAGAAACTATTTTCTTTATTCTTTTAGCCCTGTGCCAAAGGATAGAGAGAAGTTGTATTTCAAGCTAAAACAGGGAATTGAGAAGAAAGTGGTGATTACAGTTCAGCAACTCTCGAACAAAGAACTGGCCATTGAAAGGTAAGATTTTTGTAAAAATAATGCAGCTGAAGTTTTTGAGAGAACAGTACTTACACTTTTCCCTGGCTATGCAAGTTATGTGACGGAAGAAAAAATACAGCACTATAAGTATTATTGTGCAATACAATTAATTTAGAGGTGTGCAGTTCAGTTTTAATTTTCTTTGAAGTGTTTGTGTGATTTTTAGATAGAAACAAGAAACATAGCCTGTAATACTCAAACATTCTTGGTTGTCTTTCTGAATGTGGCGTTAGGATACTTACGAAGTGCAAATGCTTTTGATTTTGCTTTCAGTTGTTTTTAAGTAGTGTGAAAACATGTATTTATTGTAATCTTGCATTACCAGCATCTCACTGTTCAGTAAAAGTAACCAAGTTGGGTTGTCTTAGCTATGCTAAACCTTAGAGCGCATTCATCTGTTAGAGCAGTGTACTGGAACACTGCAAGTTTGGACTCAACCTCCTTGTCAGAAGAAGCAAATTTTGGTGGAGTCTTCAAGACGCGCAGGACTCCTTTGTAGTTCTGTTATGATAGGGTTCTAATGTTTCTCTTCAAGTGATGGTGAAGAGCTCAGGAATAGGTGATGACTCATGCTGTATTTCCTGAAAATTGCGTGAGGGGGATCCCTTTTGGACAGAAACATCTGAACTTTCGTGCAAAGCATTTGCACAAGGAGTGGACTGTGTGTATGAAGAATAACAGTTTGTTAGTAAGTTCATTAACAGTAGACTCCTGTTACTACAGTAGTAGTAGGTATTACATTAATTTGAATTAGAAAATGCCTTCTCAATAGCTCATTTTTTTAAAATATCAAATGCCACCAGATGGCAATCTTGTCAAAAGAATAACAATCAGGGAATTCAGTTTTAGTGACAAGGGAATTTGAGATAATAGGAGAATCAAGAAAAAAAAGCCCCGCAACCCTCCCAAAAGTTAAGATTGATTTCTTCACATGCTTTCAAGTTCTTGTTTCAAAAATGAAACTAAAATTTTGGACAAGGAATATTCAGCAGAATTTTTAACATCATTTTGTATTGCAAGATTGTGCTTTTGCTATGTCTTGACTTCAGAGGAAATCCTATTTTCAGTGCATTTTTAACTTAAATCATTTTGGCTTCAAAATTCAGTTAGTGGATGATAAACTCTTTTAAGCATTTCTGAATAGTATTTCTTTGTGATTGTGGTTTGTTTTGTTTTTCCCCAAAGGTAAAGCTGTCTTCTTTAGACATTAGCTTTTATTTTGATGTTTGGAATATTCAGTTAGGATGTTACTTTTATCACCACAAGCTTTGCTGATAAGAAGTTACCTAATTGATATGATATACATGGGCTTGTAAGTAATTTTATGCACTTACACCGCATAATATTAAAATTAAAAACTGGCATAAAAGGTCAATTCAGGTTACATCAGACAGTGCACTTCTAAGCAATCTAGTGTTTCTTCAGAGTATTTCTAAGAGAAAATTATAATGCAAAAAATGTTGCTGAAGAAATTTGGTCTTTGGTCTAAAGAGTTCAAGGATTTTTCTTCACGGTCTCAGAAGAGTACACCTGGTATCTCTCAGAGAAACTGGCCATCTCCTGGTGTTCAGCTGGGGCCTGTGGCTGGGTTAGGTTGATAGAGTAGTTTACTCTCAGCTGAGTTACTTTGGCCATTCCTGCCTCTGTGGCCTGTTTGGCCTGGGTTTTGACTGTTTTTATTTAGGTCAAAACAGGTAAAGAATGATGTCCATTCCTGTCTTTTGGGTTTGAGTCATGTGTGGCACTGCACAGGCTCAGTTCTACAATACGGGATATCTAATCTCAGTTGTTCACAGCATTCAAGAAGAAAATTCTGGTTAATGATTGGGGCTTTAAGAAAGTTGTTCTGAAGAGTGAAATAGCCTTTCATTCTGAGAAATGAAAGGATTGACACTGTACTCTATACAGTGGTGCTTAAATATAGTATGGTACCAGTCATACAGGAGAGTTAATATCAAGTTACGTAGGTGTAGCTTAGGCTAAGTCTAGGCTGGTGTCCCAAGGACTGATGTGCAGAGTATTCGTTGGTTGCTCAGTAGTACTGGACGCTCTCAAAGGTCATGCTGTCATTTTAACTTAATACCATCAGCCCATCAAATGGGTAGCATTTGTATTTATATGAATGGAAATGCATATTAGTGAAGAGTAATTTCAGTTCCGTTTTTGCATGTCTGAAAGCTAGTTGAATTTATACAGCGTAGTGCACCTGCACAGAGCCACTTGGTCGCCAGCTGTAAGTGCAGAAAACCCAACATGTCAGAAGTGGTAAAGACCCAGTCTTTGCAAGGCATTTTGAATCCTGGGTATGTGGTTCAGCCTCCTCAAATCAGAGGCTGAATGTGTTGACAACTGTTTGTGTACCCTCTGCAAGTGAGGGGTTCTGAACTCATTTAAACTCATTTTGCTCTTTGAACTTAGAGAAGCTGTGACTCTTCGAGTAGCATATTCTTCTCTATTCTCATATATCTTCTAGTCATACAAGTATCTGCATCTTGGAGAGGCAGGGGTTACTTGTTCCTCACTCCCACTCTTTTGGAAGCATGCTTCCCATCAGAAGTTGCCTACATTTGAGAGAAGCACAGCAAGAGCTAGAATCTGTGAGCTGTTATCTTTGAAAAGCACAGATACTTTGCCTGCCTTGGAATCTTAGCCTTACAGTTTTCTTTGGCAGATGTACCAGCAGCAAGTCACCCCTCTACTATTATAAATTATAGCCCTCTCAGAGCTATTTCTACCCCAGGAACAAGAAGTAGTAAGTCAGTCTACTGTACCATTCTGCTTGGTCTAATTAGCCTCACAGAGATGCCTGCTTGTGTGGTTGAATATAAGTCCTAGCATCCTTGGTTGCTTTACATGGCACTGCAATATGCTAGATAGAGAAATCAAAATTGTCTACTGTTTTATTTATCGCTTTGATTTTTAAGGATCTAGTAGTGAAATAATATGGAGAAGGAAAAATACAACTGGGGCTGTAAGTTACTGTTTAAGTGTAATGAGGTGGAAAATGAAAATCATATACCCGAACGTAATAGAGAGAAACTTTCTAGATTATGGAGTAATTGCGTATTGGAAGACTTTTACAGTTGATAACATTACTGAAATGATACTTACTATTATATCTCAGTTCATGATGCAGTGTGCTCGTCTGAAAGCTGTGAAGCTGTTCGGTCTTTGTTGCTACCCTGTGAACGTTCAATAATCTCTTACACTTTGTTTGCTGAAAAATCTACGTTTTCATTTGGACGAGTGGGTTGCCCAGATGACAGAGCTGCTTTTGTTCAGACTTAGGGAAGGTGGGAATGGGGGGCTTTTCTAATGCATTCAAATACCTGCTGGGAGGTATGGAAGGAGATGGAAGGAGGGAAGGAAGGAAGGAGATGGAGCTAGACTCTTCCTGGAGGTGCGGAGTGGTAGGATTAGAGTCAGTGGAGCCAGTTACTTCCCTGGGAATTCCTCTGTTGAATGAGACCAGCTGTCGTCAGCGCAAAGGGAGTTGAGCACTGGGGCAGATTTCCAGAAGAAGTCTTTCATTCTGTGCTCTTGGGGGTGCTCAGAACTTGACTTGACAGAGTCCTGAGCAACCTGATTCAAGTTGCTCCTGTTTTTTTTTTTGTGCTTTCAATATTCAGAAAGATCGAAAGTCTGAATGTTTTAAGAATGTTTTGGAATTATTTACTTTTCACTTTTAAAAATATCTAGCACATTTTCTTGTTAAATGACTGGACTGGAATACTGGAATTCTGGAATTGAAGGCCCTATATAATATAGAAGTTCAGTTTTTTTAAATAAAGAATGAAAGTCTAAAAATTGATCCAAGTAGTTTTTTGAAGGGCCCGTGATGCTACATGATGTTTTACACCACTGAGACTATGGCTGATAGAATGCATGGATTTGTATCTTTTCGTGATTGTATGAAAACCATTTTTGAAATGAACTGGGGAGAGAATGAGTTTCTTCTTGCCAATCTCCATCACTAATGTATAGGAACTGTTGGTATCTTTAAGCTTAATACTCTTAGTTGGTGTTAAGAATAATGGATTGTTCACAGGTCAGACACTAATTTCTGTCTTCTTCAGTCTGGAAAATACTGTCTTTGTCATTGCTATAATATATATGGTGATGTTTCTTGAGCGTTGCCATAACACTAGCAAAAAATTACTAAGAAAGGGTTTTTTTAAATTAGAATCGGTAGGTGGCTGTGCCATCATGTTCAAGAAAATACTTTTGTACTTTGAAAAGCTAATATATATATTTTTTTAATAAACTTCATAGGTGCTTTGGGATGCTACTAAGCCCTGGACGAAACGTGAAGAACAGTGACATGCATTTGCTAGACATGGTAATACTTGGCTCTAATCTGTTTAGTAAGATAGAAGTGATTTAAACAGACAAACAAAATCAAATAAAACAAACCTCTAAGGTTTGGTTTTGTCTGGGTTTTTTTTGTTTCTTAAATTGTGGGGTTGATATCTTCAAACTAGAAACAAACCTGTTACATACAATGGACAAAACATTTTGATTAAAGACAAAGCCTGTGGTGTCTGTGTTTTGTTCCGTTGGTAAAGCACTGGTTAGGTTAGCTGACAGCTGGTTGTGACAAATAACTAAGCTTTCTGTATTGTGTTAAACATGTTGTCTAAAAATTTAGAGCAAATAATTGTTTTTGTATTTAGGCATCAGGTCTTATTTTTCCAAGGCACTGAAAACCTTGCCTTTATTTGCCTCATTTGAATTTAAATTCTTGCTCAGAATTTGAGGTATTCACTTCTCTTCTACAATCTGAATTTCTTTTGAGTTGATTCTAAGAGAACTACAACATAATATACTTTCTGTGATAACATCAATTTACTTTCACACTGTGGGTAAGAATACAGCCGCTTTCAAGTTCATCAGACACTTGTGGCTGCACAGTTATCCCAGTTTTGCCCAGTCCATTTCTTTACTCATGTTGATTGTTCTAGCTATCAGATTTAGTTCTCTCTTCAGATTCTTTATTTACCTGTTTCTATCCACACGCTCATTTTTTCTGGTTTTATTTGCTGACATTAGTTCTGATTTTCCATTTTTATTATTTGATTAGAAAATTGATTAAATTATAGTGAGTAATGGAGCATAATGGTTTGGCTTCTATAAATCTATAACATACCTTTTTACTGTACGGGCTATGTATTTGAATTCCCTTCTTTACTTCACCTATAATGCTGTTTACGTTTACGTTCCAAGTACATTTAACTGCTGGATGTAATGCCTTATTAGTTCATTTTTTGGCTATAATGTACGCATATAAATTTGTGTTTTCCTTTCAACGTACTTTCTCTCTAATTAAATCTGAAGTACTTGGTCACTCTTATTGCTCTACCACAAATTGGATTGCAGAGCAGGAGCATCAGTCTCCTTTGGTCTGTAAAGAAGCTGCCACACAGGTCTGTTGGATCCATAGGAGCTGTCCTAGAAACCCGCAGGAAGCGTGTGCTTGCCTCACACTAGCAGTCCTTCCTGTGTGAAGGTCATGTACTTAGATTGTTCCTAGTAGGTCTATAAGTAGAAGTGTTTTTAGAAGCCACAGATGTATAGCATAAGGTCATTTTGACAGAGATGATGTTGTTAATACTAACTTTATTGTATGTGGCTGTTTTGGCTTGACTTGCATACTGTCCTGAAATTGGTCTCTTTAAATCTCAAGTTGCTATGGACTTCAATTCCAGTCCATTGGCATTTACAAGTGTAGGTCCATGCCTGAGTAACGGGGGGGAAAACTAACAGGAGTATAATTACAGAGTGGGGGGAAAAATCAGCCAGACCTTTGGGTTGGAGTTGTTAAGGTCTTACTCTGCTAATATTGTGGGTTATTTTCTGCACCATTTCTGTGTATACTGTGGGGCTAGTTTAATTTGATGAAGTATCTTGTAACTCATCCTCTCAACTGATGAGAAAGTAGAGGCAGATATCCCACCGTGCTTTCATGCCTATAATGAGCTTTAAAACAGTGTATTTTGGTGAACTCGATTGGCTTTGGTTTCTTTTATAATGTTTCCCTTCTCTTCTAATGTTTCTTCTTTCTCTCCCATTTCCTAAACCTTTTTCACTCCATTATTTCATATTCTTTATTTAGACTAGGTTTTTTAGGGTGAACACAATCTTACTCTGAAGTTCCTAGAACGATTTCCCCTCCCCATGCTCAATCTCTTTGATCTCGTACCATGACTCTGATAGAACCCTGTATGTTTGTATTTTT